ACACCGACAACTACCCTAGACTCATTTCTCAAACACCCCCTGATATGAAATGTGCATCTCCAGGAAAGGGCTGCATAGGACTCCCAGGCTTGCCCAAAGAGACAAGGACTAAGCTTTAAAAATCCCAATGCTAGAGCATCTGTGTGCACCCACCACCTGAGAACCTGAAGAGGACAAGTCAATGCAGGATCCACGGGTGATGATCTCTCTCTCTCTCTCTCTCTCTCTCTCCCCATCTCTATTTCTTTTTGTTTATTTGGAACATATGTGCTTTTTCCAAGCCTCTAATAACTCCTCTGCAAATTATCAGTAAAAATTTAACCTTGTTGAAACCCTGGAAAACTTGTATTGTCTTGCCCTCCAACCCAAAGATTTGAAACAAACCTATCTCCTCTGAAGTCGAGCAGGAAGAGACAAATACACAACACAAGACCATCAGGATTGGGCATTGTCCTTAGTGTATAAGAAACAAATTGCAGTTAAAAGATCTTTAATTGAAGTGATGCTTGTTAGCAAGTACTAGAAGCAGTACTTTCTCAGCAGAAGAAGTCTTTCAAACACCATTTATTGGCAAATGAAATGTTAGGTTCTATTTAGATCATGGAAACAACTGCTTACTGCAGGCTTCCTGTGTTACCAGGATGCCTCCAGAGAGTAAATGAAGATAGCCATTACAACGCTATATCCCCACCAGCTAGTTTTCCCTTCAGAGGCCTCAAGAAAGACCAAAATATCTTCTGCTGCCTGGTAGAATAGCTTCGCAAACATAGAGTTTATTGTCCTGGAGAATTAACATGTAGAAGGTATTGTACTGAGAACTAATCCATTTAGAAAAGTGACAAAACGGAACAAATTTACTAAATCAAATTTGCTCTACTGGTCATAGAGATGACCCAGATGAGCAAACTGATTTTCTACAGTATATTAGCTATGTTCTGCATGGAAAGGTTTTTTAATGACTATGAAATCAACTTCAGCTCTGCATTAAGAACATGCACAACAGATATTAACAGCCTGTAGATGTCTCTGAAAAATATTCAGTGTCTTCTTCAGTTTAAATTCAAGTGCAATGATGCCCAAATGCTTAGTCAGGAACAAGAGTGTAGTGTCAACTAAATTATCTATACAAAACACTGTGCTCCATACAGAACAGAATTACAGTAACCGTGCTCCTTCTTAGAAAAGAATACACTGTCACTGCATAAGTCAGTGTGATTTTACACATGTAATGCAATGCAAAGCACATATAGTAATTACTTGATAGAAACCAAGCTTTTAAATATATACACATACTTTAACTATATACATACTAATTTACACTCATTGTGTCAGTTCATCCTGGAAACAAATTCAAGCCAGCTGCTTGTATGAATCATCCCAGTTGATTAACAGCCAATGGAAGTCAATAATTCAGCGTTCCTCCATTAAACTCAGCAGTTCAAAAGTGCAAAGTTTATGTCAACAGCTTAATGACAGCCATTCCATGTACAGAGAGCCAAGGAAAGAGACAAATATTTACTTTATGTAAACTATTGTTGAGCATATTATTTAAGGCAACGAAGTGTAATTCAGCTTGGCTAAAAATAAAACCAAAAGTTGTCAGTTAGAAATTTGTAAAGCTTCTTTTAGAGACAATAAATATAATACAAACTGTAGAAATGCATACATTTAAGCAATTTGTCTTATTTATTTTACAAAAAAAGGCTTGCACTGATTTGAATGAAAAGAACTGAGCAGCACTGATATCTTCACAGACAGCCTGGAAGAGTAAATATGAATACTGCAAGAGCCTAGAGCACGTCCTGGGGAGGACCCTATAATTCAAACTTCAGCAGGGTTAGAAGTCAGATTTTATAACTTTAGTTCTGTTCACAATCTAACATGTGAAGCACCACTACAGTCTGGGGGCTGACCTGCTGGAGAGCAGCTCTGCAGAGAGAGACCTGGGCATCCTGGTGGGCAGCAGGCTAACCACGAGTCTGCAATGTGCCTTTGTGGCCAAGAAGGCCAATGGTATCCTGGGCTGCATTCAGGAGTGTGTTGCCAGCAGGTCAAGGGAGGTGATCCTTCCCCTCTACTCAGCCCTGGTGAGGCCACACCTGGAGTATTGTGTCCAGTTCTGGGCTCCCCAGTACAAGAGGGACATAGAACTGCTGGAGCAAGTTCAGATGAGGGCTATGAAGATGATGAGAGGACAGGAGCACCTGACAAGGTTCTCTCAGCCTGACAAGGACAGACTGAGAGAACTGGGCCTGTTTAGCTTGGAGAAGAGAAGACTGAGGGGAGACCTCATCAATGTGTATAGATACCTGAGGGGAGTGTGCTGAGAGGATGGAGCCAGTCTCTTTTCAGTTGTGCCCAGCAACAGGACAAGAGGCAATGGGCACAAACTGAACCACAGGAAGTTCCACCTGAATATGAGAGGGCATTTCTTTACTGTGAGGGTGACTGAGCTCTGTAACAGTTTTCCCAGACAGGCTGTGGAGTCTCCTTCTCTGGAGATATTCAAAATCCATCTGGATATCATCCTGCACAATGTGCTCTACATGATCCTACTTGGCATGGAGGTTGGACTAGATGATCTTCAGAGGTCCCTTCCAACCCTAGCCGTTCTGTGATTCTATGTTCAGAACTGTATTCTGAGCACCTTCTATTCACTAGCTTAATTCATGTCTGAAGATCCAAAGCAATGTACAGAAAGCAGACATGGGTAATCAAGGTAAATCAAGATACATTGACAGGTATAATTAAAGGCTAAGTACTTGCACCACACAGTGATACCAGATAGATTAAGACAGACTACTTTTTTATGAACAGATAGATACATGCTTAATTGTCATTTTGAACAAAGGAGAAATGATGAGACTATTCATTGAGTCACCAACGTATCTTTAAGCCTCATACACAAACAAAAGACGAATGGGGTACTACACTGGCACAGTTTTCATGAACACATGAGAAAAACTGCAAAACCTCTCTGTAGCTCAAATGACACTATACCTGGGTGAAAAAGAAGAAAAAGAGAGAGATATACAATGCTAGCTGCAAGTAAAGGGACTAAAATCTTCCAACAAAGTTAGTCAAAATTCAGAATGCTAACTCATGGGAACTAATGAGATTTCAGAACTCCTCTTTGTTTTCACTCAGCAAGATCCAAGTATTTTTTGAGAATTTCCATGAAATAATTACCAAGTTGCATCAATTTGCAGAACATACAACAGAATTTTAAAATTATGCATATTTATTTTATTTTTTTTTCATTCTGTCACAACACATAGCATTATCTACAAATTTCATGGAAGATATCTATCTTAATTTTAATAAGTTAAACAGCTGTCCTTTCAGCCATTGATTCATTAGAGAGAGAGATAGAAGAGGTCAGCCAACAAAAATGCAGCACAGCAATATTCAGTGGGCTGGAGAATCCTGGAAAGCAGCAACCTTAAAGGAGACAGTGACAAAAATTAATATTGGATAAAGCACAAGTTCAACAGCAAAAAGCTGGAAGACCAGAAGGTTGTTTTCTCTCCTTGTACCTCCAAACATTTAAATCTTTACTGAATTTATTTCTGTGCACTCTATCACTAAATGGAACTATGGGAAAATAAATAGATGTTATTTCTGCAGTGGTTAGAGTATAAGTTGTGAAGTATATACCTCTTGACTATTTGGTAGTGACAAGGAGTATTTATATCTTTCATATAGTCACAGCACCAGAAAGAAAGGTTTTATTTATATTTCTAGCACTCAACACCCGATTTCAGGAGATGAAAGCATTTAAACCAAGCATCAGGAAAAAAATAAGCATCAGTTCTCTCGAGTCCAGACTTCACGCATTGTACTATCATTCATCAGCTCAAGGAAAACATATCATGTGATGCAACATATTTATCTCCATAGTTTATGCAATATATTGTATTTCTGCCACTATTCAGTCATACATTAAGATTTTCCTCTTTCTAATAGCTTGTTACAGCTTCTTACCTTATCTGTAATACAAGAGTACATATTTCCCATATGCACTTGCAGCATTTATTTACTGAGATAACTAGCTGGAGCTTTGGCTCTTAAACATACCATCAATTCTGTGGCAATGTCAGATAAAACAAAAAACAAACAAACAAACAAACAACAACAACAACAAACACACAATCTGAGTGCTATTGAATTCTTCATGAACAACATCTATTTCCCTTCAACTAGTTCTAATGCTACAACCATATAGTTGTCTAGTGGTTATTTACATAACAAATTCACAGCCTATTTCTCTCTGAATGTAAGCAATAAAGTGTTTTTGATATGAGAATCACCTATAGTGGAAAAGTAATATATGAAGATTTTTCACCTTTGCAAAATTGCACACAGACTTTTAAACCAGTGATCTCTCTCTTAAACTGAAATTTAAGGCTATGTCTTCTAGAGTTGCTCTGTTACAAGAAAAAAATATGTGATCTGCAATTACAGAAAGACTGAAAGGCAACAATGGCTAGGCTGATAAAACCAAATATTTAACTCAAGAGATCTGAAAATCACAATTTGTGTAGACACTTATCAGGAGAAATCTCTGTGCACCTTAACAAGCATTACATTTGTGTCTTTGCACTCACACTGTGCCTGGCACATTCCCATTATCTCCAGAATAACATACACCTCGATCCTAGTTACTTTCTGCTATCTTTTCCTCACCTGATACATCCAAGAATATCCACTATTATCCACTTTGAAGTGCTTTCTGATGGTTATTACACTCTGAAGCAATATTGAGAGAGCTGTCATGAAAGGCTACCTTACAGCTGCAGACCCATGTATTTATTTTCTCTTTTCCAGAATGAATGGCAATTTAAGCTCTTAACTTGCAGCAGCTTCCCTATATGACATGAAGAACAAAAAGCAGCAGAGAAAATGAAAAGCTGAAATGTAGAGTCTTTCTATATTGAGAAAGCTTATCTTAAAATTAACCCTTACTCTCAATTCATAGATGTGATTTGGAGAAGTCTTACCTTCTATGATCTCAGCTGCTGAACCAGAATGGATTGACAAGCCTAAGAGAAGAAGAAGTAAGTCCCAGGTCCACCAGGCATGCCTGGAGCAGGTGTGCCAAAAAAAAAAAAAAAAAAAAAAAAAAGAAAGAAAACATGTCAGGGGGAACAATAAGAAAAAAGAGTAAAATACAGAAGCACAAGGGTAATAATGGGTAATAATGATAATAATGATATTTAGAAGTGAGAGTTCTTACCATGACAGCATTTTTTGAAAGTCAGTTGGACGATGTAAAGTGGGGAAGAAGTTCAGTGAACATGAGTTTTATGCTTCTGAAAATAAGAAGTTAATGAAAACTGGAGCCTGCTGTTTCTCCTCCAACGTTCAGACACAAGTGGAACAAAGGCAGCTCTCAGGCTCTCTGTGTGACTCACTGCAATTCAGTGCTCCAGCTCTGAAATCTGACTCCACATAGATTTTCCTGTCAGTCCACAGCCTAAAAGTTCCTACTTTATTTATTGGTGGACAGCCCTTGATGCTGTACATCATCCCAATGGTGTAATTCTCTGGTCCTGCCTTAAACTACTGTTTACCCTGGCAGATAGCAGCATAGCTTTTTCTCTGATTTTAGAAAATGCATAGATAAAGGAAGTAACACCACTCCTTCTCCCACAGGTATGACACTGTTCATGCAGATGGTCTACATGAAATGCTGCTGAAAGTGCCGTTAATTTTGTCTGCATACTTTAATGTGGATGTGTGACCAATGCTGCATATTTTTAACACTGCTGGATAAAAGACAGCAAAGCAAAGCATGTTCTTGACCTCTGCATTCCATTAGTCTTAAATTTCTGAATATAAGTAGTTTATTAACCCACTCCTGTAGGACTTCGAGATTTCTCGACTTTCTAATGTTCATTTGTATTCTTAAGAATCACAGAATATTAACAGGTCTTCTATGTCTGCTAGCTATACCTTGCTCCCAACATGCACAGCAATGTTTGTATGTATCCATACCATTTTAATTTTGCTACTTGTCTCTTATTTTAAACGCATCAGGAGCCATTTGAATGAGGACATAAGTGCTTTCCTTCTGTATTCTTTCCAGCTCTCTTCATCTAAGCTGGAGTTTTCCTGCTGATTAAAAATCTCTATTTTCCAGGCAGAAGTTTTGTTTACCTTCCTCAGTTCTGTCAACTGATTGCATTCCTTAACATTTGAAATGGATGCCTACAATTCTTCTGTTACAGTTCTTACTTGTTCATTAAGTTAGTCTGTCTGGGTGTTCTTATATTTCTGACCATCTCTGTGTTAAGCATATTATTTTTCCTCCTGACTCTGCAATACAAATTTATTAGCTGCACACTTTTAGCCTCTATATCACAACACTTAAGAATCAAAAGAATACTCTTGTGCAAGATTAGTACTAGAAAAGCAGTATGCTTCAAAGCCAGAGTGAGTTAAGAACCAAGCTAGAAGAGAACAAAATATTTCTGTTTGGGCCAGAACACAGGTAAGTGTTTGGTATTAATATGCTGCTGCAACGAGGTCCACCGGTCAGTTATGACTTTCATAAAGAAGTCCCTAGTGTTGTTTTTTTTTTTGTTTGTTTGTTTACTTTGAACTTGGGTCGTGCTGATGTTCTTTGATGCCTTCAGTCTCTGTATTGAGTAAGGATTGCCTCTTCACCATCAGTTCTGTTTTTTCCATGCTTGTTGTGATTTCAGAAACTTCCTTCATATGCCTCTTTCACTTGTCTCTTTCTGTACTGAGGAGTATGAACTTACTTGGTCATTTCTTGTTCTACAATCATTCCATATCTCCAGTCATCTTTTTAATCTTAGAGGTTCTTTGGTTCTAGTACATCACTTTTGATCTTTGGTGAAGATGGAGCATAAATGCACAATACAAATAATCTCAAGATTTCTCTAGTGACATAACAATGTTTTTTTATATTTTTCCTGATAACTGCCATACTTCCTTGACTGCAGTTGAGACAGTGTTTTCATGGAACTCTCACAAGCCTAACAATTTACTCCTGAAAGGTAATTTTTGTGTGATTAAGATTTGTCTTCTCTCTTTCAATAAATTGATAACAAATAGTAGAAATGAATTTAATCTACCATTTTATTTTCCCATGACTTACACTTAGAAGATCCTTTTGTAATTCTTTGCAATCTGCCCTTGTTCTTATTAAAACAACAAAACCAAAACTCATCATCAGCAAACCTAACTGCACAGCAAACAGTTACGTAACTGCTTGCCATTACTAGATTAAACAGGCAATGCATATATCTGTGAAATTGCATCGGTGATCATTCTGTAGTACAAGGGCTAGAGAACTTGTACAAGGACTGACTATATATTCCTCACCCTTTTGTCTCTCCTTTAACTGTTCATACATAAATCTCACTTCTTGTGCCCTGGCTTCCTGAAAAGATGCTGTCAATCCCCCTGACTACTTCCTTTAAATGATGTCACGCTAAATAGTAGCATGTAGCTGAGGTCTGCTGCTTTGAGGCCGGTGCAGCTGCAGCCGCTGTGCCCGACCACGAGTTACAGGGGGGATTTTGCACCCTTGTTTCGCCAGGGGAGGCCTGGGACAGGACACTGGAGCTCTGCACCAAGTATTGGCAGTCTGCAAGGTCACCCACATACCGTGGTGTCCACTAGGCAGAGAGCTCACTCCAAAAAGGTTGTGGTGACCCAGACAGAGGACCTGCCCAGAGATGTGGCTGTTCAGGCCTCTGGCTGCAGGGAGCACCTGAGCCTGCCACTGCTGGGGGAGGGCAGTGGGGAGACCACCTATTCTCAGATGGAATGTCTGCTCACCACAGTGCCTGAGCTCAAGGAGGAGGTGGAGAGACTAAGGAGCATCAGGGCTTGTGAGCAGGAGATTGCCTGCATGGACTAACTCCCTGGCATACCAGGGCACCAGGAGGATGCCCTCCTGCGGGTGGTGGAGCCCCTGCCCTTTCGCTGTCAGGCAGACGGAGGGGACCAAAAAGACGAAAAGGGTTGGAAGCAAGTCCTACTTCAGCATCACAGGCAATCTTCTCCGTACCTACCTCCCTTCCCCAGGTGCCCCTCCATAACAGGTGTGAGGCCCTAGATCTTAAAGGAGAGGCAGGCGAGGATGTGGTGGAAGGTCCGCCTATGAGGTCACGTAGGAAGAGGCAGTCAACACCACGCCTCAAGACTGCCTCCAAAAAGAAAGAAAGAAGGGTAATTGTAGTAGGAGATTCCCTTCAGAGAGGAACAGAGGGCCCGATATACAGAGTTGACCCTCATCATAGGGAAGTCTGCAGTCTACCTGGAGCCTCAAATCAAGGATATCACCAGGACACTCCCTTACCTGGTGCACTCGACAGACTACCCACTACTGATCTTCCAGGTAGGTGGGGAGCAAGCTGCATTCCATAGTCTGAGGGGAATGAAGAAAGACTTCAAGGCCTTGGGGATGTTGGTGAAAGAGTATGGGCGCAAGTTATTTTCCCTCCTTCCTTTCTGGGGTGATGATGTGGGACGGAGTAGAAGGATCTAGTCCATAAATGCTCGGCTACATGACTGGTGCTACAGGCAGGGCTTTGCGTTCTTTGATAATGGCTGGTTTTGTAAGACACCAGGCCTAACAGTAATACATGGGAAAGGTTTATCTCACAGGAGCGAAGGGGTTCTGGGACAGGAATTAGCAGGGTTCATTTGGACAGCTTTAATCTAGATCTGACGGTAGATGGGGTTGTTTTCTTCTCTGAAAGAGTAGTGAGGCATTGGAACGGGTTGCTCAGGGGGGTGGTGGGGTCACCATCCCTGGAGGTGTTTAAGGAAAGATTGAATGTAATGCTTAGGGACATGGTTTAGTGGGTGATATTGGCAGTAGAGTGATGGTTGGACCAGATAATCTTGGAGGTCTTTTCCAACCTTTATAAGTCTATGATGATACTATGATTTATAAGCTTAACAATTTGCTTCAATAGTTCACTCTTCTGCATTTTTCCTGTTTTAAACAAGACACCTTTGGGGAAAAAAAATAAAAAAGACTTTATGAATGCTGTTTTTAATATGGACATATGAAGTAATAAGAGATGACATTTATGTAATTTAAGTCTGTATTATACCCTGAAACGGGTTCAAACTAATGTTACAGAGCCAAAGAACTGTGGCATTTTCTAGTCCTTTAGCATTTCATTTCACATAATATGAATATTTTTGCTTCCTCTACCCCTCTCTCACAGTTTTATAAAAAGCGTTGAAAAAAAAAAAAAAAAGTAAAATCTATCACACGGTGGGCGTTAGCTGGTAAAGAAATCAAAAATGATTCAGAGACCTGAAGCTTGCAATAGAAACCCTAGGAAGAAAGGGATCTCCCATTAATACTTACATTAGAAAGTGATTTTCAGAAAGGATAAGACCAGGTCTGCTGGGCACATGGATGGGTTTGAGGGGAATCAGACTACTGTTGAGGATGGAGGACTATCACAAAGAAAAGGGTGAGAAAAGGAGAATAAGCCTGGGACAAGAAATTAGGAAAAAATGAGGGCAAAGCTAAGAGGAGCACTGAATGCTAGTTAGAAAATAAAAGGACAGGGAAGTCTGGAAATGTGATCTGTCATTAGGTGACCAGGGAAGCAAGAATAAATATTTAGACATCTATATTTCCCCTTTACAGACTCTGTCTCAGTCTTTCACTAGGCAGCGTGACTAGGAGGAAAACACCATGCTCAGAATGAGAAAGTTGTAAATAAAAATAGGCCAGGTAAGGGCAACTGGACAAGAGACACAGACAGAAAAAATATTTAAAAGGGATATGTTAAAAAAAAAATAATTACTCATGGTAGTAGAAGAGTATGCATCTATTAAAACATTCCTTTACTTCCTTCTGCCAAAGTTTCAAGTAGAATCCAAAATGTCTGCAACTTGTCACACTTCTGCTATAAGCAAGCACCCATGAAACCTACTAGCAAAGTGTGTCTCATTGATTGTGCAATACTCTAATAATTGCAGCAGTAGCATACGCTACAAATCAAGATATTTCAACACTTCTGATGGCACACTCAAGTGTCAGTATGCCCCCATTAAATTTAAATTTTGTGTTCTAAAGCACAAAAACACTAGAGCTGTTAACTAATGCTGTGACAACGTATAAAATGGCCACAAAATCTACCATTTCCAGAAATGGTTGAACTCTTTCTGATGAAGTTCATGTTACTGGCATGAGACACAAACTCAAAACGCAAAATGGTCAGTGTTCAGAAACTGAACAAGCAATTTAAATTATTCAACACTCGGGGGGGGGGGGGGGGAAGATAATTGTAAAACTGAGCATAAGTAGATATTCTGCCTGTAGTTTAACCTCACTTGCATGTTAACACTGATCTAATTTGTTATATTAAATTAATTTATCATTACCAGAAGGGTACATAATTTTAAAGCATACTCAGGAAGTAAGTCTTAGCTATATTAAGGACGTGTGGCACTGAAAGACTCTATTCAGACTAAATGTCATACATTCCTTTTCTGTGAATAAACCCAGAAAGAATTATATGCAGCACTTTCACTGTCTGTCTCCATGTTCAGCTGAGCTGAAGAAATATTTTCTCCTATACACACACACAGAGGATATAGAAAGTAAAACACTTCACGA